CTATGCAGCGGGTCGGACTCGATGATCTATTGAGGTCCCTTCCGACCCTAACATCTATGAATTAATCATTCAATAATAGTAATGCTTGCTTTTCTTTTTTTGCTTTTCCTACAGCCACACAGTTATGCAGTGAACAGAAATGTCTTTATTCTTCATCATTCCCTACTTGTGATACTGGCCTGTCATTACAGTAAATCTTACACCCATCTTATGAGAGGCCTTAGATTCTTTGTCACAAGGCTTAGCTCCCTTTTCTAGATCAGTGTAATCAGTTGTCTTTCGGAATGGCAGGATAAAATCTGCTTGTCCTGGAGACAACTGAGGAAATGTAACATCAATATATTTCTGAAAAGCTTGTCTTGTGTCTGCTATTTCAGCTTCCAGGCTGTTTTTCCAAACTGTCATGCTTTCCAGTTGTTGGTTTAGAGTCTCTATTTGAGCTTCTGTTTCTTTCTGTCTGAGCATTGCTTCTTCCAATTTAAGCTGATGTTCTGCTTCTGCTTCTTTGCGCTGCTTTTCAATGTTCTCCTGATTCTCCTTTAGTGATATGTCCAAAGCAATATTCATTTCATACTGTTTTTCTTTTGTTAATTGATCAAACTTCTTCTGATACACTTCTTTAGCCAATATCTTAGCTTCATGGAGCTGCTCCATGTGCTTTCTATGAAAAAGATATATTATTAAAGATTGTTAAAGAAAAATAAGTACTTTAGCACTGGGCAATGCTAATGTGTCTTATTCAACTAGAAATACAAGTAAAATTATAACACAAAGTAGAAGAATGATAGGAATAAGCAGAATCAAAAAGGCTTTAAGGGGGAAATATTCTCCTTTGTACAGCAGACAACATTTTTGTGTTTATCACCTGTTCTACTTTATGGAGAACTTTTAATATTCAGTAGGCTGCATAGACATTCTGCGCAGGAGAATCTGAAGAGGGTAGCTACATTGGTGTGGGGGTGCTATCTGCATAAGCAAGTTCTATGGGATGGAGCCTTGTTTTCATAGTGAGAATGAAAATATTAAATAATATAGCATAACAAAATATGGCTCTTTTCTGAAAACCTGTTGAGAAGGGAACATTCTGTTACAACAGATCTGTGCTCTGAACTGTCAGAGTTATTTCTGTTGGTTTTAGTGACAAAAGTAAATTTTACTATTCTCATCTCATTGGAGAAGGAGCACAATATTATGATGAGTCAAACAATATTGGCTTAATTAAATAAAGGCAGAATTTGCCCTCACTTTCACCTGTCAAATTCCATTTAATTCAAATGAAGAAAATGGGTTTTGCACAAATGTAACTGAGGGCTGAGCTGGCTTGTAAAATTAATTTCTAGTGGTGATCTGGGTACCATGAAAAAAAGCCTTAACTTTCAGACCCTACAATAAGTTTGTGGTACTGGCAATTAGAAGCCAAATACTGTTTTACTTCTAAATTAAGTGAATTTACATGAAATCAGCAAGACAATAGTAAGACTAAAATTCTACATGGCCATTTATAGTGCCAGAGTGGGTAACAAAATTGCTTCTACACTTTAGTCAGGTAACTCAGAATTGATTGCAAGCTGAACTTTGGGGATGCATCCAGACAAGCATGGACGTGCAGCATGTAGCGCAGCAGACCCGTCTGTAGCACTGCACACTGCACATGCAGGCATGCCTCGCACTGATACCTTGCAGTGTGGGCAGAGGTGCAAGGGATTGACCCCAGAGATCCCACTCCAAAAAATAGTGATCTCCCAGGGTCAAAAAACCCACTCCAAAAAAAAGTAGGGTGGCACGTGTGGCAGCAGTGTGTTCTGCCCAAAACCAGAGCCTGTCCAGCCAGAGCCACACTCTAGCTGCTGATCAGGCCCTAGCCTCCACTACCCCACCCGGGATAACCTGCCATGTTCCAGAGTGTGCATGGCATGGGCATTACCCAGGGACAAGTAGCAGTGGTACAAGGTGTGGTGCTGCTACTTGTCCCTCGGGAAACAAATGGCCACGTTCATCTGGATGCGGCCTGATTGTCCAGTAGGTGAAATATCGTTCTGTCCTTTGTGCCTGAGAAACATGTATGTCTTCAGATCATTGTCCTTAGTTATATATCCATCTGTATGCTTTGTATGCATTCTAGAGATAGAATATGCTGTTAGAATATTAATGTTTAGTTTTTTGACAATGGACACCATAGAAAACCCTACACAGAGTGTTTTAGTAAATGTTGAGGTATACATTTTTGTTTATCTTTATAAAAATTAACAAACTGAACTATAGAAAATGTCAAGAATACTTTTGCTGTTTGGCCATTTCTTTCAGTGCAGCCTCCCTTTCCTGTCTTCTGACTTCAGCTACAGCTTGCATCTTTTCCAGAGCACATTCCATCTGGACACGCTGAAGTTTGTGAGCCATGCGCTGTTCTGCAGCTTCAGATTCCCTCTTCAGTTCATCTTCCAGATACTGCTTCATAACTTTCCTTGTTTGCAACTCTGTTTCCTTAAAAGTAGTTTTAAATAGTGGGCAATAAAGTACTCTTCAATCTCCCATTAAGCCCCCACACCCATAAAGCTCAGAGGGAAAACAGCATTTCAATACATCACTGAAAGAAAACAGCCATAACTCATTGTATAAAACAGCTCATCTTCTTGTCCTTGTACACTAAGGTCTATCAAAAATGCTTAATAAACTGATGGCAAATGAATGAATTGTCAAATATTAGGAATTCTGAGATTTTGCAAAAGCAAGAAACATCTTGGAGCACAGCCCAGGACTACAGAATAAATTCTCAGAGGAACTGAGGGCTACTGTAAATCTCACCACTTTCTATTCCAAATACCAGGATGATTTCTTTGACCTTCTATATATAGGTGTGTGTGTGTGTGTGTGTGTGAGTAATGCCGCTTAATATGTTAGCTGGAGGTGTGCAGGTACTACAGTGCTGACAATATTTTAAGGACTAATAGCATCAATATATAAAACATAGAATACACAGAATATACTTATAGAATATAGAACAGAATGTTGTAGAAACTTAATCACTGTTTGTAGTTGTTTCTCTTTATATTAATATTTGTCTTTGGAACTTAGGTCGATAGTGACCCACAAAAATGAAATCGAGTTTCTATACAATAAAATATTGCAGTTTTCCCATTCAATATATAAATGTTTGTATAGTAACATACTTTCAGATGTTTCCTCTTTTAACTTACTTAGGCCCAAGCTCAACAAACAAGTTAAACACCTGAGCTTCCATGACAATAGAATGTAAGACTACTTAAAACTGAGCCCATGTTTAACTGTTGTGCTGACTGTAAAAATGATTTAATCATATGCTTTAAAGTGGTTTTCTAAACTGGTGTGTCTGTTACAAAGCAACCAGGTTTCATACAATAAAAAGAAAAGTACAAAACACTACCCAAAAATCCCCGCTGTTCCTCCTCCCCACCAAAAAAGCCTGAGTATGTGTCCAGGCAGACCATACAATTTAGTACAAGTCTAAACCCAATAGTCCAAGGCAAATTCTTTCACCCAACAGCAAATGTCAGACCCCAGCTGAACTGAGAAGAAGGGCATACAGAAACATAAATACTTTTTTTAACATGCAGTAAGGACATGGGCAGATTGTCAAATTAAAGTATGTTAACAGGATGCTGGGGACTTATTCTGTAAAAACTGATGTGCACTAAACTGCCTGGTCAAGTTTACCCTATGGTAAATGAAAGTTAAACCATAGTAAGTCCTTCTCCTCTGTGTCCTGGCTAGTAACTCACTTTAATTTGACCATTTGCCCATATACTAGACATCCTGTATATAGTTAATAAAATAAATCAGTTACACACTTGTACATTTCTACAGTAAAATATTTGGTATATTAAAAACAAAACTAATCACTCCCAACCTCTAATTCCTGTTCGTGCCTTTTTTTAAGGCATTCTACAAATTCATTGTGTTCATCTGCTGCTCCCTCAAGGGCTTTTTCCAATGCATCTTCTTTTTGTATCTCAGCCTTTAAGAAAGGTCATAATTCAAACAGTTAGCTAAAATTCTGATTACAGGGCATTTGGACAAGGACCAGATGTTATATCATCGATAACTCTATTGTTTTCCATTTAAAAAAGAGAGTGCAATAATTCTAAATAAAGATGATGAAATGCCTCGTGAGTTTGTCTCATTGGACAAAATTAGTCATTGTTCTTTCAAAAACTGACATACAGTGATCACTGTCAAAATGTTATTTGTTAACACTGCTACCCATATAGTGGAGTTAAGATAATACATCCATGATGTATTTTAAGTTATAGGGCACTCCCAGTATCTCACATAGTACAGCGTGGACAAAAGCTGGCAAATGCTGATACTGTGGCCACAGTGCGTTTCAGATACAAATATTTAAGCAGATATAAACTTACTCTTTATAATGTTAATATACAGGTGTCGGAATATTTTTAGAAATGTGCCTTGTTGAGCATGGGGTAAACATTCACAAGCAGTTTATGAATGCACAGCTTACTCTTAGCTGCAGTGAAATTAGTGGGAGTTTTGGTCTAGACTTTGTTTGGGGCAGGACTTGCTATTTGTGCAGCAACAATTTTAGACTAGGGATGTCAAATGTATGGCCCATGGGTCAGATCCGCTCAGTGGAGCCATACAATCTGGCCTGCAGGTTTCTGGACGGACCCTCCAAGCTATATGAGGCAGATGCCAGTCCCAGCCCACGCTCTGCATGTGGCACATGGGCTGACCCAGTGCTGCATGCAGCACAAGGGGTCCATCTGGGGCATTGGTTGCATACAGCAACACACCACAGCTCTGCACGCAGGCTCCAGTGTGCATGGGTGACCTGGGGCCCCATCTGGACTGGCACTAGAGCCAGCACAGGTCCAGTCTGGTGTGGCACTACATTGCAGCCCATGCTCTGGCTCAGCCCCTATGCTGTGTGCAGCACCGGGTCCAGCCCACACACCACATGTAGGGCAAGCCCTGGAGTGAGGCTGGCACATACTGTATTTATCATTCCGGCTGGACCTGGTGCCATAGATGTGGCATGCAACATGGTGGGGTTGGTTCCGGTTCCCATCTGGCCCGCAGACTGGGCCAGGCACCTTCCTCTGGCCTGTGGAGCCAGATGAATTTGACACCCCTGTTCTGGACTTCTTGGGTGCCTATACACGAGCAGCAAGGCTGCTCTAACATGCTGTAATTACACTGCGTTGGAGCAGGCTTGATTAATTGAGTCTGCTGGAGCGTGCTAATTACTGCTCTCCAAAAGACTCCAGCATCCAAAAGACTCATTGAACAAGCTTTAGTTAAAGCGACCGTACCACCATCTTTAAGTGCAGGGTTGCTGATGCATGAGACGCTTCAGGCACTTGAATCAGAGTGGCTCTCAGAGCTGCTCTAATTAAAGTGCACCTCCCTCCCACACTCCCAGATCATGTGTATAAACATCTATTATTGCCAATTATATAAATAGGCATTTGTAGTTGGTTAAAACACATTTAAACTCCAAAAATGAAATGATTCAATCAAGATTATGTGTTTTGAGCTCAAAGGACTTCATCCATAATAACCACATTATGATAAACATTCAAAAGACCTGAAAGGATTCATCAACCTGGACTGATAGTGGTATAACTTTATTTACCGCAAGCTGGAGTTCCTTCTTCAGTTTTTCAAGCCGTTCTTGTATTTCTAACTCCTTTTCTCCATGTTGTTGTTGCTGAAGCTCTGCTCCAATTTCTATGTGCACAACAGAAATGGATCATGAACAACATGCTACATGTATAAAGAAAATTGTAAACTGTTTCTGACCCTCTGCTTTATTCGCTATTCAAATAAAAATTATACACAAATGTGAATCCTCACTTCACTTATTATCACATACATGTAATTATACATAGTGCTATAAGTGCCATGGTGTATGCAGTGCTTTATACTCAAGGGTTTAGGTCTTGATCCAGTAAAGGACTTTAATGCCTACAACAACACTTAAGCAGAACTGAAGCTGTGCAGCTGTTCAGAAAATAATCCCAGATTAATTGGGCTAGAGAGAGAGAGCATGAGTCTATAGCCCACTGGCTATGGCACTCATCCAGAGGGGAGGAATCTGAGAAAGAATCTGCGATCTGGTTCTTGTTCCCATGACTGCTTATGCATTTTACATTGAACAGGATAAATATATTTACAGCTCCAAAACATCACCACTCATGTTCTAGGCAGGTAAAAAGTGCAGTGGTTAGGAGACTCCCCTGGGGGTGGCAGCATGTGAAACCTTTCAAACTGAAAGTTGCCCTGAATCCAGGTCTCTCACTTCCTAGGCAAGTGCTTCAACAACTGCAAGGTCATTAGATCTTAATAAAAATAGATGAAAAGGAATTATCACATGAAGCTACTTTCATTTCCCAGCCCAGACAAGCAGGTATTCATTTACCATTGCATTGACTGGGGCAACCAGACACAAATCCAGAGCAGAGCTTGAGCTCACACCTCTGGAGCCATGGTGAGATACCTTAGGCACATACTGTGAACAGTATTAGGAGGTTACAAATTTAGAAATTCTCCCCACCTCAGTCGAATAAATGTGGTCTCAAACCTTTTATGGATCTATTCCTAAATTTTTTTCTGAGAGAGAATTAATTTACATTAGGAAAATAAAATTAAAAGAGTGAATAAATTAAGTAATAGATTAATTTAAAAAGAAAAGGAGAGGAAAATACTTCAAAACAGAGTATTTTAAGACACTCCTTAAAATGACTCAATGTCTGCATCACCCACAGCTCCTGTAGAGCACTGAACACATACTTGATACTTTAAATAAGTCTTCGTGTTAGTTTAAAACATAAGTACACCAAGCTTTATGAAATTACTTTTTGTAAGTCATGATTGAATATAGGAAGCATAACTCCTATAATATGTAAAATGACTATTCAGAATATTTACAACAATAAGGCATATAACAGCTTAATTTATTGGTATATTTCTAACTCTTGCTATTAATACTAACAAATTAACATATATTTTCTTCCAATTTTCAAATGATTATTGAAGTATAGATAATTTAATTAGAAACTTAGAGAGAGTCTTATGTGAGAGTACAGTACTATCTTGAGTTATTCTGGCAGAATCTTGCTTATGAGCTTTCCATAGCAAAGCTTGTAACTTTGTTTAAATATTAATTGAAAACAGTTATACTCAACATGTTGTGACCACAGTGTCCATAGTCATCATGAGGTAGTCTCTAACATAATTATTATTTTTCTCTCGGCATTTAAGGTTGAGGTCAATGGAAACTCTTCCATCAGTGGGATTTACATCAGGCTACTACTGGGTATCAAGCTAAGATCCAGATACAGAATAAAGACTTAAAAGCAGGCTCCACTAGGATTTGTGTAGGTATAAAGGATCCTGGGTGGATCCCACTGCAAGGTGAAAGGACAGTATGATCCAAATATGATTTTTCTCCATCCACTTGAGCCTTACCAACCATTTTCAAACATGTGCATAGGTAGCTGTCTCTTGTTCTTTACAGTGGGCAGATCTTTAACACCTTCAATTACTGCTGTTTACTTGAGAAAAATAGCTATTTGTTATAGCGTATTTACAGGCAGTCCTTGACTTACAAAGCTTCAAGTTACAACATTTTGCGCTTACAACGTTTATAAATTGACAACCTGTTTCAACTTTCTGACATCAGTTTCGACTTTACAACACTTGATCTGATGCCAAGCCACACCAGTGAACAAGTTCACTGTGTCACCCACCTCCCTGGAGAACATCTGTCCAAACTTCCTTGGACACTTTCTTTAAGGAAGAAGATGAGACTCCAGAAAAACCTGCAGTCAAGACTACTGAGAAGACTCCAGCCAAGAGCCCTTCAAAAAGTCCAACCAAGAGCCTTTCAAAAAGCCTAGCAAAGTCACCTCAAATAAGTCCTTCCAAATCAATATGATTGCTATTTACAATATAAATATGTTAATGTAGCTATATTACTCATCTATAATTAATTGAGTACAAAATTCTCGGGTATTTTTGGTGAAAATAGGGTATTGGGCCTTGGCTCAGGAACCAATCCCCCATTTATAACATTGTTTCTTATGAGAAAATTGGTTCTGAGTTACAACCTTTTGACTTAAGATGCGGTTTTCAGGAACCAATTGTGTTGTAAGTCCGATAATACTGCCTGTATTAAGAAGTAAGTATATTTTTCTCTGAGTGACCAGGGGCCATCAGACTTAAGCTGTAAATGTATTTGTGAATGTTGAGAGTATGTGTAGAGAGCTACAAATGAAAAATTTGGAAACAAACTTACCCAATATATCCCGGTGCGTATAAAACCGTGTTTTGTAAGGCTTATATTCCCGAATCCGTTCAAAGGTAGCAGGAGAAGGAGGTGGTGGTATAATTTTTGAACAAACAGCACAGCAAACAAAAGAGTTTAAATCTGGATTCCTGATCATGGCTGTATTCAAGTAGTTTTCTCTAATTAAGGAAGTTACTTAAATGTCAGAAATATACGCTAGTTGGAATAAAATCAGGCCTCGTTCTTGCCAGTAAAAGAAGGGTTACTTCCTCCCCAGAAAATGTGCAGGTCAGTAAAAACATAGATTCATCCACCATTATTTCTTAGGGTATCTAAAAGATTTGCCTGCAGGTTAGGAACACCAATGCTGAGCTCAATCACATGATGCAGACAGATGATGAGAAAAGCTTTATCATCTGACCTTTTGCTGTCTTAAAACAATCTCCTACCTAGCAACTGTTACTAGGCAGGACAAGCTTTGCTCACAAAAGCACTTTGGTTTGTGTCTGGTGTTAGACAGCATCTCAGCAGACTTTTCATTCATTATTTAAAGAATGTCAATACTTTCAATTGACACCAAGCAGTTTAAAAGGGTTTTTAAAGTACGTAGTAGTGGCTTTTGTTTATAGGTTTGGCTTGCAGTGGTTTTGGTGAAGAGAAATGTTACCACTGCTAATAAGAATGGGAGGTCTGCCGTCTGAAAAAAGTCTCCATGTAGAAAATAATTTTGATTTATAGTTCTTGCCAGGCTAACTAATTTTTCTGTTAACTTCTCTTACTATCACTGAGAATGAAATCTACAGAAAAATGAGGAAACTAAAACACACTGATGCTATTTTCTTGCCCCCAGTACACGTACGAGCAGCTGTGCCAGGGAGTGGTGAATGTACCTATTTTGCCACTCTAGAATTAGCCTGTATTAATCTCAGTGTGCATGCTGGTTTGACAGGAATTGGATATTTAACATTTGATGAATGGCAACACTGTTCTTGTACTGCCCATCAATCCACTATATGGCCACATCCAGATGAGTGAGCATGTGCCTGTTGCCATGCTTCAAAGCAGTTTGAGATGCCACAATAGGCACACTAAGAATGAAAACATGTTCCTCACGGACTCATTTTGATACCAGGAAATCCTAGTGTCAAAAAAATCCTAAACCCCACACTGGGAAAAAGCGGTGCAGGGCACGTGCAGCAGTGGATAGACCTAGGCTCTGTCCCAGATAAGCAGGGATGTGGGGGTGGGGGTCTGTGAGAGTGGCAGGGACTGTGTGGGTGGGGGGGGACTCTGGGTGTGGGGGGCTGCTCAGGAGGTGTGGGTCCCCTAACTGCCTGCCTGCTGGCATGGCACACAGCCCCCACCACAGTAGCAGCTGCGGGCCATCGGGGTGCTCATGGCCCACTCCTGGCAGAGACCCAGTGCCACCTGTGCCACATGGAGCTGGCCCAGCCTGGCCTACTGGCACATGCCTTTAAGCAGGACCAGGCTGGCTTTTGCTGTCACTGTATGCTACAGTGCCCATACCACAGCCCAGGCAGCTGTGTGGTCTGGGTCTGGGTCTGGGTCTGGGTCTGGCAGGCATGCAGCCATGGGGCTACAGATCCAAGGGGGCAAATGCTGTCTTAGGTGGCAGCAGGTCACAGCCAGGCATCAGGCCCCACTGTGAGACTGCTGCAGTGGGTAGAGGGTGCAGGGGCCGCTCTAGGTCAGGGCTGCTGCAGCAGTCCAGCTGGCACAAGGGATACCCAGATACCAATTGGCCCAGTCTCAGAAGGTCACCGGAGCTGCTCCCCAGGGCATCTTTCTTTACTGCTGGAGCCAGCACAAGTTCCCCAGCCTCTGGTGCCCCTAGCTGAAGATTTGGGAGGAGCTCAGCAGGGTCAGTCTGCCCCAAGTGGCACAATTTGCCCCGAAGTGTACATTCAGGCACGTGTGCTGAGGCACAAATCTCCAGCACAAATTTGTGCTGTTGCTATTTAAGCTGCTGCAAGCACACATGCCTGAATGTGTGTATGTGCCCTGTGGTTGCATCCAGATGAGCGCAGCCAAGCAGTATGTGGTACTGCAAACACGTCTGCAGTGCCACATACCATGCTGTCAGCTGTTCTCTGTGCTGCAATGGGGCGCTGCCCATGCATGTGCTGCTCCATTTTTTTTCCATGGATTTTTTTGATACCTGGATATCCAGGGGTTAAAAAAAAATCGCAGAAAAAAACCCACAAAGCAGCACATGCACGGGCAGCGCATGCAGCTGAAAAGTGGAGCCGGGCTGCCTGGAGCTGCACTCTGGCTGTCAGCCAGGTTCCATGCAGTAGGGTCACCACAGCTACAGCCCTGGGATGCCCCAGATAAGGCTGCTGGGGCCAGCACAATGCTGGTCCCAGCCTCCCCTACTGCCCCCAGGATAATTTGCCACATGCCAAAGCGTGCGTGGCAGGAGCATTCCCCAGGGTCAAATAGCTATGGCACAAAGTGTGCTGCTGCTACTTGTCCCCAGGGAACCAAACGTCTACACATGTCTGGACACAGCTTATGTGTTTTGTATTTGTCCTGTTTCCTCCATTTTCTGTATATTATCTGTGTATTATTAAGGGAGTTCTTCTTAAAGTAATTGCTAAGAGTAAATAAGGATGAACCTTATCTGAAAAAATAAAAGCAAGGCTGAACATTCCTTCAATCAACAGTGTTTGGTTTTGCTTAGCTAATTAGTTCTAATTCCAGCCAATAGACACCACCACCAAGTAACCTTCTCAGACAAGCTCCCCCCCTAACACAGTTATACTGGGACTTGCAGTTAGTTAAATAAAAACATCCTCTCTCTCTACATTTTCATTTATTATTTTCTATTATTTATTTATTTATTTAGCTCTTGATGCTAAATGATGCTCTGCACAAATCACTGGCTCAGAGGATTGTGTATTAAAAAGCAGCTGTGGGCTGTGGCAAGAATTTGGTTTGTGGTCAGAAGGGTTAGAAAGTTTGTCGCCCAAATGCAAGCCTGTTAGAGATGTTTTTGCTCCCTAGGACTAGAGCATCTGCAAGGCTCTGTATAAAAGTTATACTTACACAAAACTTTGTTAAATAAATACTATTTATTTAAAGCCCTATTTGCAGGGGAACACTGGTTTTGAAGTCATTTTACAGTAGTTTCAAATAATATAAGCCTAACATATTTTAATTAATTGAAGAACCAGACATCAAAACCCACATCGTACATTTAAAAAACAAGGGTTCTTCTTGTCTTGTAACTGAAGAAACCAAGTGTTACCCTCCAGGGTAAGCATTTGATGACTCTGAATACATGAACACGCTATCTGGAACTCTCTTAGGCAGTTGGTTTTGAAAAGTATTCCTTTTATCATTCAGAAGGCATTTTTTTCTTTATTTGCAAGCTCTTGGATTCTTGGATTTGACTCAAGGCTACAATATCATGAGGTATCCAAGAGCCTACCGAAAATTATGCTTTCAGAGATTACAACATTTATTTATAATTTGGGAGAATATATTAGAATAATTACATTTTTAAAAACTCTCTCTTAAATGCATCCACTAAAATCAGTGGATCCACTAAAATGACATGAACAAGTTTTCCCCACAAACATTTTATAATTTTATTTAAAATGTCTCTAAGTGTATTCCAACATATTTATTTAGTTGAAATAAGTACAATTGTATAAGGTGGTAAAAGCATCTACTCTTAGATATAGGACACCTTTTATAGGATTTTTTCCCCTCTCAGCAGTACATTTTATAATACTTTAATTATCTGGGTTTAAATTCAAACTGGCTGCCTACTTCAAGTTGAAAAATATTCAGCCAAATGGTTCATCTACTCCTGAAGATAAGGCTAGGAAAAAAATGGTTCTTCCCTATTTTACAAATCCTGGTGACCTTTATTGAATGCCTTAGTGCCTCCATGCTTTGCAGCAGACACTTTGATTTTCGCTGAGGCACGCAGGCTCCATCAGAGATGTGCCTTTTGCCATCCCTGTTAAAAGTCTACCCACATTTGGCCAAGTTGCCGTGTTCTGGAAAATAAGTTTTCACATGCTCAGTAGATATTTAATAGTTTTAGCAAAGATTCCTGAAGATTCTGTTCATGTTGGGTATACTCCAGGGTGGAATGGAACAGGACTTCCCTTGTAATTGTTGCACTTGGTTGATGTGGGGTGGATCTGATTAGCTCCAGGTCAGACAGAGCTGGGAGTGTCTCATGGACCCTCCTGCTGGGCCTATAGAGCAGGGGTGAGCAAAATGCAGCCCATGGGCCGGAATCGGCCCACCAAGCCAGTCTATCTGGCCCGCAGGGCCCCTAAAAAAATTAGAAAATTAATATTAATCTGCCCTGGGCTGACTGAGGGACAATATTACATAGTCATAGTCCCGAATCCCAGCACCCCCTCCCATTTCCCCCCACCCCCATCTCCTTCACTTCCTCAATCCCAGGATCCTTGTTCTGTAATTTTGTCCCTCAGTCTTTACTGGTCTGGCTTTTTTTCTGTCTGTACTCAAATGAAGCAGCTTTCTTCTCCATGCTCTATAGCAGGGGCAGGCAATTATTTTGGGCGGAGGGCCACTTACTGAGTTTTGGCAAGCCATTGAGGACCGCATGGCAGGCAGCTGGGGCAGATAAATATTCATTTTCTAAATTTTTTAGGGGCCCCGCAGGCCAGATAGAATGGCCTGGCAGGCCGCATCCAGCCCCTGGGCTGCATTTTGCCCACCCCTGAGCTAAGGGATAACACCCTCAAGAACTCTGCAGGTAGACATGAGGTAACAAGATAACAGAACAAGAACACAATGGTGAAAAAATAAATAGCACTTGGCCACCAGCTTAATAGTATGCAGCCACCACGGATGGTATATTGAAGGCAGCTGGGGGCTTGTAGGACAGGGGAACAGCAAATGAACTCTGGCAAGGAACACCCTCCCACAGACGTTACATGAGACAGAAGTGAAGCAGGAGGCAAGGTAGCCCTCACTGCCTTGGACAATATGATGAGGCTGTGCCACTCTGTGGGCTAGGCAAGCACCAGGGAGTTCACTTCGTCCTTTCCGCTGTTTAGAGCTGATGGAAACTGTGCAAGGTAGTCACCTCTGCCAACAACACATGTGGTTGCCATGACAAGTTTGCAGGTCTGGAGGAGGTATAAAGACAGGCAACTCAGGGAGATCTGGAAGGAGACAAGAAATTATTTTGGCCATAATATAGGTCTCGGAGAAGGCAAAAGAAAGAGTGCATCAGCATGCTCTTTATCAGACTCCTAGCACTCTAATGGATTCACTGCTATATTCAAGAGGAAGGAGCAAGGCATACTCACAGACCCAGCCAGCTATATGACCAGTTGGGTCCAGATTATGATTGCACAAACTCAATTCTAACATCTAATTTTGAATTCTTGACTGTGCATCCTTAATATTGACATCATTTTGCTGGTGAAGTTATTTTTAAAATGTATTTAAGTTTCTGTATATAACATGTAATCTATCTACATATTAATAAAGTATCCTGTGATTTTAGAATGTCCTTTACTTAGATCACCTCGATTCCAAGGACTTACATTAAATTGTAAACGTAAATGTTTTTCAAGCTAGCTTTGAATGGATTCTTATTTTTCTATAGTATTTGTTCTCTCAGCTTTTTTCACTAGAAATAAGTCAGCAGAAATATTTTTGTCAGTATTTTACCAAATATTTTAAAATTCATTTGTCAAATGTTTTGCCTGTTTAAAACTAGGTAGTTGCAATACTAAAAGTGCCAATTTTTGCAGATCATATCTATTACTTTTTCCCCACAAACGGTATGCCTTGAATTAAAAGCCTGTCATTATTTTCAAAGGAAATTATGGTTCAACTCATCTTGCTATTACAGAAATTTAAAGGCATTTAAAGACCAGTTTTCACATGTTAATTATGCTTCTTCCCAACACAAATTCTAAGCACCAGAGACAATGGTTCTTAACAATACTTTTATTACTGTGCATATCTTATATACAATTTATAGGTATACACATGGTATTTCATAATCATAATGCAACTTAATTGGATTAAATTTCAAAAGAATAATTTATTAATTATTTTAAGAGCTGAACAGGGAAAAAGCACTCAGGATACCGGCTTGTAAAACTGATTCAGATCAATACATTCATAAAGTTTACTGCCAGTCAGTTTATGAATATTTGCCCTGTTAAGAAATGTATCTTGATGTTAGTTATCAGTTCTTTAATCCCACTTGGAAGTTTTCCTTCTCATAGACCTGGTTCCTTCACTGTCAATAGCTTCATAGAGGTCTTTTTTATTCTCTTGTGTTGCATGCAAGTAACCAATGTAGGCCACACACAGTGTGATTGTTACGAGTCCAAATGCCATTATAGGTTTGTTCTGTTAAAAAAAAAAAAAGCAGTTAACACAAACTTAAGTCAAAACTGGGGCTGTTTTATTTATCATGTACATCAAATTCTTAACACCTTACATGCAAAGTGACCAGTAAACTTTAAGGATATTAGTACTAGTGCCCTTTTGATACTTAAGCAATTCCCTTCAAAAAGACAACAGATTTGACTTTTTCCAGGGATTAAAGTATTTTTCTATAAAATGCTACCTAGTTAAAAAAAAACTAAAACATTCCTTCCCATCCCCTTCCTGAGGCCCCAGTGTGGATCATATATACTGTCATGGATCAACTGAAAGCAGAATTCCTAAGTGACAAGACCAGTTGATAACACGCTAAATCTGGATACCACTGGGACAATAAGTCTGATCCTCTCAAACAAGTTTTTACTTTTTTCCCCCTGCAAAAACACTTATAAATTATTGCTACATCCTATGCTTTACTGAATGCACCAGAGAATGTGCAACCTCATTAATGTTGCTGGACTATGCAGATAAACATAAGCAGAATATCATCTACTTAACTGCTAAAGCAAATATTACAGCAAAGAACATTCACTGACATATTCCAGTTATGTCAGTAACCCATACAAATGCATGTTTAAAGTAATTTTCCACAATACCTTCTTAATGAGATTGTTTTATAAAGCTGTATTAGAAATAATAGGCAAACATCTCTTGGATATTTTTCCAGCCACTTTTTTTGTTTCAAAGCTACTGCTTTTAACATATTAACTGCCTGTTAGAGGGGGGGCATCTATAATTGGTGCCAGAAGATAACAGCCTCTCCTTTCTGCACAGCCGTCCAAAGCTTGCTAGCATTGCAGAGGCTGCTGCCAACACCATGTAATTGGGTGGATCAGATCAGCAAAACCTGCTGCATGCCTACCCATTGCTGTCTGCCAGCTGTATTTTGTTTGGTGATAATCAGGCTATGTCACCTAAGAGAAAAGTAAGGCCTGAAAACGTGTGCTAACTGGTTCTAAAAGTTCTGTAAAGAGAAGTGGAAATGTGTGCTAGCATGGAGACCTTTAAAAAAAAATAAAACGGCCTAAATTAAAGGAACCCACACCCCCTTCATATTTTAAAAATAAACATTTTCTTAAAACTTTAAAAACCTGAGAACCCCTTTTCTTTACCCTGTCAAAACAGAGAAGAGAGGCTCCTTGTTACTAAAAATATTGACTCTCAGGATGCCAACATCCCTCTGGAGTTTCTTTGACCTTATTGGGATCAGATGCAAAATAGTCCAACAATATACAGGGGGAAATTAAAGCCATGTTTACAGAAAGCTGTCAAGCACTCAGAAAAAAGTATTTTTAGTGATGGCACGCATAGGTTATTCTTGTAAAAAGATCAGTTATTAAAGCTCAAGTCAGAAGTGCCTCTTGAAACGGTCTCTGAGTAAGCGTCTTACAGGTTTGATGAAGAGCTCGGGGTTCACGGCACGGAACAGCGTGGTGGTTCGCACACCCCGGAGTCCCGGGCTCCGATAGCCCCTTTCATTGGGAGCTTCGTTTGGGGCGCTCGGTGGCTCAGAAGCTGAGGGCATCTCGACCCACGCTGAACTGTGACCTAGGAACAAAACTCAAAATAAATCTTCAAAACACAAGTGTCCCAGGTCCATCCATGTCCCCCCAGCGCCACGTCCTCCTCTGCCCAGGCCATCCATCCCCCACCAATCTTTTACTGCTGAAGCAGGTGCTTTCCTCAGGTGACTGCTACTGCCGTTCTCCACGTTTTGAGGGAGCAGCTCTGGCCTGCCCCTGAGGTGGAGTGGGGGGCACTGCCCACAGCTCCTCTCAAGCCTGCCCTGCCCTGCCCCAAAACGGCCCCTGGTTGCTCCAAAACCCTCATCTCTTTCCTGCTGGAGACACTGGTCCCAGTCAGGGCTGATGGGGCAACGTGGGGCTGACCCATAATACCAGGCGCGCGAGTCGGGGAATGGCCAAGCCCCTGCCCCACGCACCACCTCTGTGCACAGCGAGACCTGCGGGGCAGGGGCAGACCCCTCCCCCATCAACAGGGTCCGCGCGGGGGTTGCACACGGCACGCCCCGTTCCGTGCCGCACCAGCCCCTCGCGCCCCCTGCCGGGGGTAGGCCGCCAGCCAAACCCCACCCTTCTATTGCCGCGCGGGGTGACGGGAGCGCCCAGACACTTCAAGGGGCTCGGCCCGCCCTGGGCCCGCCTCCTCCTTCTCGGGTCCCAGCCAATAGCCGCCCAGCGGCTCCCTCCTCCCCGCGCCCAATCAGTAGCCGCCTCACGCGGGAGGAACGTGCTCAGAGGTGCGGGTGGGTGGATAGCGGTGGCGTGGTGACGTAAAGCGGAACGTTGTGACGCCGCGCGGCGTTCTCAGCGTCTAGCTGTGACGCGGCGGGTGGCTGGGGCCGGTCCCGGCTGTGGTAGTAGCGAGGGAAGAGGCTCGTTTCTTAATCAGAAGACGAATTAATGATCTTGTTGCTCTTGTTGCAGCCAGAGCGCTGGTAAAGATGTCCTCCGTCCAGAGAGGGCGGCTGGAGAGGCCCGCGGGCACCCGCCTGCACCGGGGGGCTCCCTGGGTGACGGGCATCCCTGGCCCTTCATGGCCCCCGGGGGGACCCCGCACTCTGCATGACCCCTCCCGAGCACGGCTTCCCCTGGAGCCATAATCAGGTCTCGAAACGGGGGGACCCTGCACAGGCACAAACAGGAACGTGACAAGAGGTTACCAAGACTCTGCCCAAGGCAGGTGCCCAACTGCCAGGGAAATGCCAGGGCTAGGCCTGTGCGGGTGACGGCAGAGCTGGGGCCGCTTGGGTTGTTTCTGTGACAGGTTGTGCCTCTTAGCCGTCCAAGCAATGTTAGGCAAGCGCCCAGTGGTCCCCAGGATTGCAGCCCAGGCACATCTCCCAGCCCTCTAGCAGAGGCTGTACAAACGCAAACATCAGCCAGGGCAAGTAGCCCCAACACATTCACCTTGAACTGGTTTGGGGCCAATGTCCTATTTCAGGTATCTGGACCTGAATTCTTGATCTTCAGCTCCCCCCTAAAACCCAGGGGGGCACTTAAATCATGACCACACTCATCAGACTTCTCTGCCTCGCTTACAACAAGGTCGGATGATTGTTTAGTCTGGCGGAGAGAAGACCAAGTTGGGTTTTGATAGGCAAGAGTTCTTGCAGGTGATACATTTTATTGGACCAACTGCCTGGCTGGGACAGACTGAAATGTGGCAAGAGTCTTCACCTACCTGAAGGGGGATGATAAAGAGGATGGAGCTAGATTTTTCTCTGTGGCCGTAGGGGACAGGACTTGAGCTGCAGCAGAGGAAATTTGGGTTGGAGATTCGGAGGAACTTTCTGACCATGGGTGCCATTACCCATTCATGGTAGCACTTGTTTCCCACAGTTAAAATGCAAGCAGACTTACTTTCAAGCAGTTTGGCACATGTTAAATGCCCTTGTGGTGTGGCAGTTGTTCCCTTTCAGGCAAAGGTCATCTCCAGGGATCCAGGTTTTCCCTTTGTCATGGTAAAACAGAACCCCCCTCGCGCAGATTTCCCCAGCTCACTTTCCCCCTGGAGCCTTTGAAGTAAGTGGGGCTTGCAGGGGGCTGGGGTCAGGTAAGGGCTCCTTCTAGCAGTGCTGGAGGGGCTGGGGGGTGGGGCTGCAGGAGTCGGGAGGTGGTTTCAGAAAGCCCCACATGAAGGGCTGGGTGGGAAGCTGCACATGGAGGCATGAAGTTGCGTATCATTGGGCTGGGCAGGCTCCTGCTTGCCTCCATGAGCTGCTTCCTACTGGAGTACTGGAATCCCCACGTGGTTGTGCACAGCCTGCCCAACCCAATGGCGCACGGATTCTTGTCCGCTCACTATCGGGAAGGTGCCCATGGAGGCACGGAGCCTACTTGGCCCTATGGTGCATGGCTCCTACCTGTAGTGCCACAATCTGCATGTGCTGGCACAGAGCCAGCCCAGTCTGGTCCAGAGGTGTGCACCAGTAGGCAAAGCTGGCTCCATGCCAGCATGTGCAGGCCCTGGGACTTGGCCAGAGGCATACACCACTGGGGGCTCTGCCTGCAGTGGCCATGAGCACCCCGAGGGTCCGTTGCCTGCTGTTGCTGAGCCGCTGGTGGTGGAGACTGCACCACAAACTCCACACTCACCCACAAACTCCATGCCTACACACCCCATCCGTACACAGTACATGCATGCATTTCTAAGAAGGTTCAAACAGTGTTATATTTTGTTTAATCTGTTAAAAAAAAAAAAGTAATTAACTTGGCATAATCTTCAGTTTTTCTGCGCATAATTGCAATTTTCTGCTCATAATTTTGATTTTTTTATGTGCATGACTCCCCAGAGTGTACAGAGTGGTCTCAGCAGCAGCTCTGGTTTTCCATGATGAAAAAAATATATAGGTACTTAGAATTTATTTTATTATAGTGATCAAGGCACTGGTAGGTTTCCCAATTGCTTTAAAACTGTAAATATAGCAATAAAAAATGTGTTTGACTAATATCTACACACACACACAAGATTTGGGGTTTTAAAAAATCTGAAAATGTGATTTTTATTTATTTATTTAAATTGGAGAAAATCAGGATCCCTAGACTCATCTCCTAACACATAGTAACTTTAATAGGTTACTATATTTCCATGATTTGCAACTGTTGCCAGGAAACTTGTGACAAGGCCCTATGGGAGTGGGTAAGCAGTAGGACAGGCTATCTAGAGAAGCTGTAGGATCCCCATCCCTGGGAATTTTCAGAATCTGGTTAAAGTAGACAGACATTTGACTAGGATGGCTTAGTGCTCCTCTGCCCTGCTTTCTGAGAGCTTTTAGTCAGGGATGATCCTACCTTGAGCAGGGGACTAAATGACCTCATGATGTCCCTTCCAGCCCTACTTTCCTGTGATTGTAATAATAAAACAAAGTAACACCCCTGTTGCTTGGTTGTTTTCTTAACTATTTTCTTTTTACATTTTTTCCTTTACTTATAAAGAAGGCAACGATCAAACTGCTTGCTTTCTTTTAAATGCCATTGTGCGCAAATACTACTGGCCAATTGTCCACTGCAAAGCCAGAATCTAAATTCTGACCACAGAAAAAGTTATCTTTATTATTTGTAAAAATAACAGAGTGGGAGGGAAATATTTTTGTACTGGGGAGGAGTCAGTGGTACATCTGTGCTTTCTGTCAATATTTAACTCAACACACCACCTGCTAAGCTCATAACTATTGTTTTATCAACATGTTGTACAGCAAGTTCTGTGTTAAATTCATCAAGCAGCAAAGAAATTCAGTATTAAGTAAAGATTACTATTCTCATTTCTCTTCCTTTTTTAGGTATTTCTATACTTGAGGAAAATTAATATAAAGTGTTTGGATACATCTCTGTGTTAGTAAGGTTGCTCTGTTTTCTTGAGGTGAGGGGGAGAAAGAAGATTCTGTGGTCATCCAGTGCTCATGCTTCACACTTCTGCCTCTGTGCTGACTGTACATGTAGAGCTATGGGAGTACCACAGTGAGATGAGGATATGACTTCACTACTCAGTTGATCGGCTCTAACCAGTATTTTAGTGCTCCCCTGTTTTCATACAGAAGAACTTTTGCCCTATGTTTTGAAATGCTCTAAAACAAAGGGTCATTTGAACCCTGGCTGCAGCAGGCAGGCTGCAAACAGCTGCACTAGGGTCTGGCCCTGGCACCAGATCCATGGTGGTCACAGGTGCATGCATGCCTCAGAGCACATGGAGGGGAACGGGCTGGGGCAGCACAACCCTGGTTCCTCCTGTGCTATCTGCCCGGAGGCATGCATGCACCCACCACCAGCAATGAAGATCCAGCTTCCAGCAACGAAGATCTGGCTCCCCCACTGTCTGCCTCTGGAACACTAAGTTGAGGTGTAGGGGTGCTTTTGTCACTCCAGCCAAAAACGTTGCTGAACCTTGCTCTAAAAACTCAGACTAGCTGATGTAGCTGGAGAGGTGGGTTAACACCCAAGTAACTCAGCAACCATCAGTCAGGTTGACTCCTAAATTTTATTCCTGGTTTTGTTATGCATTTCCTCTGCATTTCCTTTGTGATTTTTGGAAAAGTGACCTGGTTTTCCTATCTATAATATGGGTGCAATTAGTATACTGGTGGGAAACTTAATTTAGTTTATCGTTGTCCATTTGTGGAGATGCTCTGTAAGTAATAGAATTATAAAATCTGCGGTCAGAATCTATCACTGCATGAGAAGTAATGATAAGAATCTCTCCCTCTTACACCTTCTGACAAGAACAAAGTTATGACAGGTTTGTTTTTATCTAAACGAAGTCACCTAGGACTGCTCTGCTGCTGTTATGCAGCACACTGTGGCAGCTCAGAACCCAAAGCAGATTTTCCCATTATAAAAGCTCGTGCCCTTGAGCTCCTTAAGCTACAAGGGCATCATTCTTAGCAGCAAGACATGGCTTGATCAAGCCTGACACTCCATCCTCCAGACATCAATAGGACATAATTATTCAGCATCACTGTGCCTCACCGCCCAACAACTCCTGATTGCTTCCAACAGGAAACAAGATGAAAGTTAAAGATGGGCTTTGAACTAAAAACTCCATCTTAAAGTACAACTGACCATTATATTAAAATGGATAGATACCAAGTTACAGATCTATTAGGGGTGCCAGAGCACAAATACTTTCCACGCAAGCATCAGCTCTCTGGTAGTTATGTGGGTTGCAGCATAACATTAGTCACACACAAATGTCAATCTTTTTCTCATATAAATGTGCGTCACCAATGAAGGTTATTATTTTGTTCAGTTTCTATGATTTTTATACTGTGCATTTGACCCTTTTAATTAACGTTGTGTGTTTGTGACTATTGGAGTGTGTTTTGCTTGTGATGAGCCCCGATCAAGTCTGTGGGG